AAAAAAATTTAAATATTATTAATAAAGTTATACATACCGTGTCCCAATTCTGCAGATTGTAACCTAATTTGTGTATATGGGTTAAAATACCCCTTTTACTCTGTATTAATATCATTATATTTATTTTGCTGATAAAAAAAAAAATTATACATACCGTATGAAAATTTATTAGATATAATTAAAAAAATTTCTAGTAGCTAGGGGCTTAAATTTATTATTATTATATTTAATGCTAACTTAAAAGTGTGTGATGGCGTGTCAAAGTGCCATTACTGGGTGGAGGTGGGCCTAGGGTAGGCAGAAAAATGGAAATGGGGTGGGGTACGCAAAGGGACCACAAACGCGCACACGATTGGAAGGAACCCACCCTACATAAAAAGGTCCCCCATACGTAAAGGGACCACTTTTGGGCAAGTGGGTCTGAACTGTGGTCATGGGACTCATGGCGATACCCATCTTGGCCAACCTCAAGGTGTGGTGGTGGCCTGGTGGTGACGACGTGGGGGGTCCCAACCCACACCAGCAAAGGAGGTGGTGAGTGTGAGTCTGATTAGGTCCCATGGGCCATGGTGCTCCTTCACGAGGCCGGTTTTTATAAAAAAAATGGTAGGAGCCACCACCTACTCTCGGGTCCACTTGCAATTGCTTTTGATAGGTCTCACTCCCCCGGAAGATGCATAGCAGATTATTGGGTAGAGGGTCCAGTAGGAGGCCAGATGAGTGGTGGAGCCGTCGATCGACAGGTTGTATTTGGTCCCACCTGAGATATGTTACGGTACACTTTCAAGTTAAATGGGGTGGGCGATGGGTACACACTGGTGCGGCCGGCAGCCTTTCAACCCAAAAGAAATATCGCCCTCCTCTATGTTTACTGCTGCATGTTGGTATCATCCATGCACGGCCCTTATTCCTATTTTATCTTCACCCTAGAAATAACAAAACCATCTCCACCGTTGAGATAACCTATTTTTATGAGTCCTGAAAGTGGGACACGTCAATGTTTATATGGCCTATTTCAACCGTAGATATGATCACATACATTGTTATTAAGGATATATAATTTGACTAATATTTTATCAATTTATAAATTTTTTTATCAGGATTTTTAATCAAGGCTTGTCACTAAAATGGGGACTTATTTCTTAAAAAATAATAAATAAAGCAGGTAAACAATTTAATATATGGTCAATTAAGGTCAAAGTTAACGTGAAATGTCTTGTAATCACAAATGTTTTTATTATGGCCTCATTTTCTCTTTTTTTTTTTTTTTAAGGAATTTGTTTTTTAGCCAAATTTTTAAATAGAAGTTGACATGAGAGTATAGAACATATGGCCATATATTATAAGAAATCATTTTATTAGAGCTTTATCATAACGAACGGCGATTTTTTTTTTTTATAAGTACAGGGCAGTTGGCCCAAGCGGTCAAGCTTGCTCCGCGCTGGGGGGGCGTGGGGGGTTTGTAGAGCAGGATTATGTTCGAACCTTTTCCGGTACCGCTGTTGACGCTGAATATTTAAAGCCAGAGGGCTGGCCAGTGCAGCCATATAAGGGTCCACCTGATATCAAAATTCAACCACCTGGGCCATCCCATAAAAAAAAATATATACACACACAAATACAGACACATAATTTTCATTTTTAATCCAAAACGCGCGCACACACACACTTGATGATTAAAAAAAAAAGGAAAAATGAACCACCTAACTTAACTCTCAATCTAATGTCATACTGCCTTAATTTTACACTCTAAACCCCACCGAGAAAACAAATCAATGAATTTATGATTTGGCTTATCGCCGGTCATTTAGACCCCACGGAACAGATAATCTCATAATCTTGTGGAGCATGACCCACCACGTTTCATCATCCCATGATTCCCCTCCTCCAATCAGTTTGTATCATCGACAGATAACCGTTGATTTCCCTACTAATATTTAATAACTCCTTAAACCAACAATTATCAATACTAGCAATATCTAACACTCTATATATATTATATATATATCCTTCCTTTGGATATGTAGTCTTTGGTTCGGATTCTGTTCTCTTTTGGTTTTCACACCCTTTGTTTCTACCTTCGTCGCCATATTGTTACTCCGTTGCTTTCTGGGTTTCTCTTGTTCTTGAAAACATGGCAGCGATTTATAAACAGGAGGTCGAAGAAGACGAAGAAACACGAACGATTGATCTTAGAATCAATGGAGATGAGGGTCCAGCATCTAGCAATAAGCATACCAAGGAAGACTCACAGCTTGCTCCTAAAGAAGAGCCGGGTACTGAGGCGGCGATAGGCGTGATGCCTGTGGCGGTTCACGTTCCATCGGCGATACCGTTGTCATCGGCGGCGCCGCCGAAAAGAGCGTCCACGAAGGATCGTCACACGAAAGTTGAAGGGCGGGGTCGGAGGATCCGAATGCCCGCCACATGTGCGGCTCGTATCTTCCAGCTGACCCGTGAACTTGGCCACAAGTCGGATGGTGAAACTATCAGGTGGCTATTGGAGCACGCCGAGCCCGCGATAATTGCGGCCACCGGTACCGGCACCGTTCCAGCCATCGCCATGTCGGTGAACGGCACACTGAAAATTCCCACCACGTCAAACTCAAACCCCAACGATCCCAACGCTAAGAAGAAACGTAAACGACCTTCCAACAGCGAGTACGTGGACATAAACGACGCCGTATCAGCCTCCTCCGGTCTAGCTCCTATAACCGCCGCTCCACCCCAACAGCAACAACAGCAACAACAACCAACGGTAGTGCCGCAAGGGCTGGTTCCAGTCTGGACTATTCCATCAAACGGCGTCGTTCCAGGTGCGTTCTTCATGGTCCCACCTATACCGTCCCTCGCCGGGCCGTCGAATCAACCTCAAATATTTGCATTCCCAGCTTCTGCCACGCCGTTTATTAACATTTCAGCAAGGCCGATATCGTCTTTCGTATCAGCCATGCAAACCAGTCCCGTTCAACTTCAAAGCAGCGCGGCGGTTTCGAGTTCAGGTAAAGCGGCGTCAGTTATGGCTCCAAGCTCGAGTTCTGCCCCAACGACAACCACTACAAGTAGTGCTACTCAAATGCTTAGAGATTTCTCTTTAGAAATTTACGACAAACAGGAACTGCAGTTAATGGCTCGCTCATCAAAGCATTGACCCTTCAGAAAGAAAATCTAACAACGTGCAGTTTCCGTTGGTGGCTTCTTAATTTGTCGGCGAATCCATCCGCCATTGACGAGCAAGCTCGAAGTCGTGGGAGGGGAAAAGCACGTGGTCACGTGAGGAGAGTTATAAAGTTGTGCACGTGTAAAGTGGGGTCCGCAATTGTGGTGGGTCAAAACTCAGCATAAAAGGGCAAAGCGGGGGGAGGCGGGGTACTCCGTGGACCGTGCAAACGAATTGATTTTTCTTTTTTTTGGGGTTTTCCAATTTGTGCGGGGGCCATCTCGTCGTGCATGTGAGGTGTGATGTGGGGCGCGGGTCCCAATAGGTAGATTGTGGGCCCTGCGGGACCGGTAGGCTTACATTGTTCCCGAGGCGGCCGGGTGGTGGTCCCCACGGTTAGTTTGGTGGTCTGATCGAGATATGTGGGCCAAAAGCTTAGGCTGGAACGGGTGACACGTGTCTAAAGGTTTGCTGTTGATGGTGGGACACACGTGGGGTCCTATGGTGACGGGTCCACAACAACACAAGATAACGTGATCTTGATGAAGAAGAGATGATGGTGGTGATGATGGTATCGGATGCGCCCCCCGATATTTTCTTTTCTTAGTTATGACATTTGCTTTTTGACTTGTGGAAAAATAAATGAAAATGAAAATGAATTTCCTTGTATGATTTTTTTT